GTTGGTCCTTAGGCATGATCCTTAGCAATAATCCCTATCACATAGCTACTTTGTAAATCGCTTTGGATAAAAGCATCAGCTAAATACATAAACAAATCAATGTTATTATATTTCCTCAGCTTAAGCTCAAGTCTTGAAATAAAATCTTGAGAGTGAAAGGAAGACAAGGCTGACATACGCAGACAAAACCGAGATCATCAACCAAAATCATGCAAAAAAAAAATTAGAAATCAGATAATGGTTTAATCCTTGTATGATTGGTTCATTTATTTTTCAATTTGAAACAAAAAATAAAAATACGAGACATTTTTTTTCTTCAAATTTCAATTCATAAAGTAATATACGAAAAACAGAGAACATATTCTTTTTTGTTCCAACATTTCGGTAGTAAATAAATATGGAGACAATTGATAAAAAAGCATAAGAGCAACTCTTTTATAAGGCACAACAGGCAAGTAAATGATAAGAGAATCACAAATGCGCTCAATTAAAAAACATTCATCAACAGCTGCATTTCAATTTAGAAAACAAAGCAGTAATGCTTTTTCCCACAAATGCTCCAAGTAAGTCCGAGCAATTGCCTAACTAACCACTATAGCTTGTAATTTACTCATTTTATTTACTGTTAGCTTGCACATAAGAGAACGACAACTCAAACAACTGAAGAAAACAGGTCGTCAAGTTTAGAACACAAAGGATATGCACTTTGAAGGATGGTAACTATGTGGAAAGTTTGTGGAAAGATTAATTTGTGCCAAGAAGCATCAAGGACAAGGAATCAGGCTGCATTGATGTTAAATGATACCTCTAAGGTGGATGAGTTTAACAAGGACTAGTGATCTAAAGTACAGTTTTATTGTATATTATTCATAATTCCTGCTTTCTATTTCTAATCATGTCTTGGGAGTCTTCTTATTCTAAATACTACTGGTACATTTGCTAAGAACCTGCGTACAGCGTTCTCCCATATATAGAAGTATTTTTCCATTGCTTGATCCAAACCATAAGGACTTTCTTTGAACACACACACAGTGCGAGTAAGATTTGTAGCACTCTGTCATTTCTCAACCTGTGCACGCTTCAAGTTTTTGACCAAAGGTAACATAAAGAGAAAAAAAAAAAGATTACAGCAGCTCTCGCTCAACAGCTAAAGATTAGTATTCAGGTTCCTGAGACAGGCCAACTCTCAAGGACCGCTCACTTTTGCTCTCAGTAGCTTCTTGAAGAGTGGGCGGAAGCCAGCGATCTTCAGTGATCACATTCTCGGGTCAGAGAGTGTAAGCGGCTTGGAAATAAATCAGTCAAGGCTAGGGAGACCGCAGCTTATAGGGAGGAAAGGTAACATTGGGCACACTGTGCAAAATAATGTCCTGCAAAAGTAGCCAAAATATAACTATTTGTTAAAATGCGGTATTGCAAAAAAAGAAAAAAGAAAAACAGAAGGTGAAGGCTGATAGTATGACAGGAAGATGGAAGAGGACCGCAAGAGTTAAACAAATAGGAACAAAAACTGTGTCACTGCAGAATTTATTCTAGCCATTGTTCATTTAAGATTTCATCCAAAACCTTTAAGAATATATCGTAGAAGCTCAAAAAAACCTGACAACAAAAAAGAAAAATAGCCACTGTTGCTGTAACTGTTGCAAGATACAGTAAACTGTCCCTCTGTTGTATTTAATTAAGCGTTAAGAGTTTATAGCCTGAACTCGGGCCTCATATTTAGGTGGTGGCAGGGATTTAAGGAGAAGTCAAACTGAGAGAGGAAGGTTGCTTCATGGGGGGAGGGGTTCAAGGTGAGGGTAAACCTTTTTTCTTAACCCCCCCCTTTTTTTGTCTGCTGTGCCTGCCAGTTCTAGCAACATCTGGCACTATTTAGGATCTGGCCTGGTACTTCAGAGAGGGGAAAGACTGTAAGATGGATTTTGCACCAACCTTTAATCCATTATAGTAGATCTAAATAGTACTTCTAATTGAAAGCATTTTTTAAATAATTTATAATTTTGCTAAGAAAGTCTTTGGTTCACTTGAAAATAATGCTATCTTTATCAATACAACAAATAATATAATACAATAAGGCCAATACAGAGTCAAAATCCAGCACTTTAAAACAATGCAATCTCAGCCATAAAGCAAAGTGAAATAAGAAACATTTAATAGCACGGCCACTGATGATGTTCTAGATGCAGCATATTATTTCTAAAACTCCTTAAATGAATTCATTTGACGGTGATTTAATGCTGAGCAGTTTATGGAAAAAGTGATAAGCTAACATATTTTACTGATACGCTTTGGATATGACTCTTCAGTAATTTAGTTTGTAACATATATTTCAATGGAGTTGCAGAACGTCCTCCCTCTCCATAAACTTTTCACTTGGATCACCAAAGAGGTTAATTGTGTGGCGTTTCAGCTGCTCTCTGCTCATTCTTCATCAAAACAATTTACAGAGAGAAAAGGACAATTAAATTGATTCTTTTGCTGTCACTGTCATTGTTAAAGGTGAAAACAAGCAGAATCGTGTGGAAAACCAAGATTTTCTAGGCCTAAAAAAACACTCTATACTACAGTTCTGTGTATTGTTTATATGGAAATGAGAGGAAACTGGCTGTGCAGAATACAGGGGCATGGCTGACTGAGGGTTTACAACAGGGGTTCCCAAAGTGGGGGTCGCAATACACCAACAAGGGGGTGAGGGGTGGTTTTCACAGTTATGATGGTGTGAATCCGGAGTTATGTGGATGGATGCCTCGCATTGAGACGAGTAAATGTACCATTAAATAAGTATAAGTACCATTTATTTATTAATCTACAATAGGATTCAAATTAATTATACAATTTTAAATTTAAAAGTTAAATGTCCTTTTAAATAAATGAAAATGACATTAAAAAAGATCAAAACCACTTTACAATAATGATCCCTCATTGATAGCTAATGAATATAATCTATGTGTTAGTGTTATTATACTTTCAACATAATTTCAACATATTATTCATGCTTAAAAATATATGTTTGGCAATGCTTATTGCACTTACAAGCTAGTGATACAAATTGAGATGTGTGTAAGCAAAGCTAGATGAAATACATAATTGAACATATTCGGCTCAATATTTGGCATAAACCACTAATGAGTTTTAAAGTGTTTGCACATTAAATAATAAGATATCTATAGATTATTATCAGCCATTTCTATTAGGAGTCTAAATGTAAAGTATCAAATAAAGACAAAATAGTCTATTTGAAAATAAGTCAAATAATTTCTCTCCATATTTAAAAATATGCAGTAGAGAGAGCTGTATCTTTTTAGACGTTCCCCAGTCTGTTGCAAAGATATTTTGGATTACACGCAGAAATGTTTGCAAACCCCTGGTCTTGAGGACAAAATCTCTTTAACAGTAACAATAACAGCTAAAAGAAATAACTGCAACGGTGAGAAAGCTGACAAACGCTAAAAAACATCAATATATGATGAGGGTGTCATTATCAACAAAATGAACAGAAACACAAACACCATATGAACAGCTAATGTGTTTAGTTACAATATTCTCTCACTTTTTAAAGATGCAGCTCATTTCTAAAGAGTGAGATTGGCCGGGTAAAGCTACACAACAACTCCCTGCAGAAATAGTGACGCTGCTTTGGTTTCTTGATTATTAGACAAAACAGCAGGGATCATATACAAACTGAGCTTCAAAACAATCATAACGAGTCAGATTTCTGTGCACATCATGTTAAGGTTTTTAGAGATATACTGTTTGGTAACATGTTGATACATGTCTGGTTGCTTCAGGCAGTAAAAGAGTAAAAAACTGCAATGTTGTCAATATATGAGATGGGCTGAAAATGTACAGCAAGGTTGAATATGTTTGATTTTTCAGCTCTCATTTTTTTCTGATTTAGGAACTTTTTAGAAGTGCAGAAGATTGCATAGATTCTCTAGGAATGTGCACAGAGGCTACTCTTTAAGCTCTGCTCACCAAGTCTTAGCTTTAGAACTTGTTAAAACCTTCTTTTGCATTCACTTCTAATGCTAATAATTAATGAAAGCTCACTGCAGGTCAGCTACATGATCTACAGTGGGAAAAATAAAAAGAAATAATGATACAAAGCATGCTTCTAATCGCAAAGTGAGTTTACAGGGAGCTCTTTTCTTCTGCAGAATGGCATCTAAAAGTGACAGGCAGAGAAAACGACAGAGTTCGTGGGACAATGAGGCCCATTGATACGCTGGAGACAGGACCGGGCGCCTCCCGTGTGCCGAGGGCAGCTGACGGTGCACAGAGGCACCACGATTAGTCTGCATTACAAATGGCTAAACCAGAGATGTGAAGGTACAGAAAGATTTAGAAAGAAATCGAAAAACCTTGACTGCCTCTGCACAAGATGAAAGCTCCTGGAAAAAAAAAAAAGCTTCCAGGAATTACTTTTTGTGTTTTTAAACAATCAAAATCTTTAAATTGTCTCTGTTTTGGCTCTTCTTTTGTTTATTTGCTGCATTAAAACACTTTCAGGGTTCTTAAAAAGAAAGCAGCTGACACTGATATTTTGGGATTGGTAAAATTTTTTCAAATCTGATCAGCTTTAAAGAACCAGTCTTCCAACAGGTCCAACTCAAAAGCCGACCCCCCCACCCCCACACAGTTTTCCATCATACATTTATGGGAATTCCATTAAGCTTTGGAGATGAGGTGTGTTGTGGCTACCATTATTTTCCATAGAAAGCAGCTAACCAGCTTAAATTTATAGCCCTGAGGCCATCTGCAGGCCTCTATGCGCAACTGCACATAAATTATCTCAACTGTTGCTTGTGAGGAAGAGTAAAAGGAAGCATGAAATGCAATATAATCTTTTGTGTGCTTAATTTTTCTTCTGAAACAACAATAATTTTGCTACGGCTTAATAGAAAACCTACATCTACCTTTCAATCTAATTTAGACACATTTTACATAAAAATAGTTGCCCTTGAGAATGGAAAAATAATCCAACAGGGATGCTTCAGTACCTGTCTGTAAGTGCAGATGATGATCTCTCTAAGATGATAGTGCATGGGGGTCATGGTCTCACTGACAGAATCCAGCGCCAGGTCTACCTCTTTCTTCCTCCTGTGGCCGTCAGGAAGAAGTCGAACCAGCCGCATTACGACCTGAGGATCAGCGGAAACACATGGTCTTATTATCACAAAGTACCTTCCAAAACCATTCATATCACCTTTTTTCTCATTTCACCTACACCAAAAGCACTTTTTTGTACCGGTATTTCATTGAGATTTTATGTAAAAAGATCAACAAATTTTAATGCATAGCTGAGAAGTGAAAATAATAGGATGTATTGGGGATACATTAAGTGATGCCGTTTTTTAAGAGAGAGCTGTTTTGTACCAGATAACAGGAAGGCTAAACCCCTTTGAATTTTTAACCTCCTTCTGTCATGAAACACTTTGAGTTTGAAATCTCAGACACAAAGATCTAAATTCTCTTAAAAGAATACAGTAACCACTGTTTTGGTTGTTCTGTTTATGTTAGCCATGCAAAGCTATTAGATTCTAAGCTCTGCAACTGTTTTGTCTTTTTTGTATTTAGTATTTTTATTTTATTGCAGAGTGTAACTTAGGAAGAACACACAAGGGCAAACAATATAATTTCAATTTCATCATAATATTTGTTTTGCTTTGGTTTCATTTTGTACAAAATAATTTGTAATGAATATTTTCTGTCTATTGGTTTTATCCAAAGGTTTGCTATGCAGAACACTGTCCTTCTGTGAGGTTTTTTTTTTTTCATTACAACGATGAGTGCCACTATACCTGCTGGTTATAATTTAAAATACCTTTCATCTTGTACCCGCTTGAAAGACAGTCAGAGATAGAGTCACCTAATGTTTCAAACTCCCTCTGAGGATTGTTTTGACTCATATGATGCTGCATAATATATCTCCAATCCATGTTTGTATAACAACAAATTCTTCCCTTGGCCTGGATTTTGAACCCCGTTTAGTTATAAAGAATGTCGCCTGTCTGCTCTGACCCAATTAGTGGGCCGCTATAAATGTGTGTCAGTGTGATGACGCTGCAGAAACGAGTAATGTTTCCAGGAACACGTGCAAATGACGTCAAACAGTCAAACAAAGCGGTCACTGGTCTAATCATCTAAGTTAGTGTCTGTAGAGCCTCTGTGATGTTGGAAATCAGTGTCTCTTAGTTATAAGCATCTTATATCTGTCTCGGTTTGCATAAAACCTTCCTGTAGATCATTTAAAAACCTTTGATCAGCTTACAATAAATGTTAAATAAATTGTTTATGTCACCAAATATAGGAGGCTAGCAGGCTCTGTTTGGCTTCTCCCACATATGCGTTTGTAGGGAACATCATAAATATCTGAAACTTAATAAACAAAACATTACAAATTTCATATCTTGGTTTCCATTGGCACAAAATAAATGCTAAATCATTACTTAAGACTAGAAAGATGATGTACACTCATTTTTTGTTCATTTCATTAAATTTTGTTCTTCTTCATTATTTTTTTAAATAGCTCAGTCATGTGACAAAACTAATGTCAGAACAATATCTGATGCACAGTTTTTTATCCAATTTTAAGGCATTTACTATTAATATAATAAGGAAAATCATTATTTAATTAGATTTTTTACTATAGAAACTCATGTAATGTATTGTCACCTTTGTGCATAGGGGAGCAACTAGAGCTGCTTTTATCACACTACAAAAAAAAATCCAAAAATTAGTATAAAAATCCTTAAATTAAGTGCATTTACCCTTAATTTGATTAGATAAATAAGATGATTTGCCAATGAAACGAGTATATTTACTGTTAAAATAAGATAATAGGATAGTATGCACTTTAAATAAGACGATACAATTGTTTTTTTCTTATTTTCAATGTAAATCATCTTGTTCCATTGGCAAAGTGTTTCACTTACCTCCTCAATTCATGAAAAAAAAAAAAATGCAGTTGTCCCCTTTTTAACCTGAGTGTGGCAGCAAACAGGTTGCTGTCACAAAATCAGGCTTTTAACAAATGTGCACTAAGATGTTAAAATAATGGGACATTTATTTAGTAAATCAGCAAAAAAAAAAAAATGCTTTATGGGTAAGTAGTCCCTTAATAACAGGGTAAGAAAGCAACATTTATGTGTGATTTACTCTTCTTCCCCTAAACACAACATGCTTGTTAGATACCTTTTTTTTCCTTCAACCACATAAAATAAAGCATTTAAAAGTGAGCTTTTTGACATTTTGTTTAAACCACAAACATCTATGTGTTATATTAAGATTTCTTTGTGACAGAGCAACACAAAGTCATTCAGATTTGAAAGTGGAATGACAAATATAGATCAGCGTCAAAGATTTTTTTTCATTTAAAATAGAAATTTAAACATTTTGTTCACAACTGCAACTAGAACCAACTTATAAACAACCATCTGAATGCTTCTGAAACAAATAATCAAATATAACCAAAAAAATACATGTTGAGTTAAAAACGATCAGGACTCTACTATTTTTCATAATACTAGGCCCCTTCCTATTGAATCTATACACGTATGCTTTCTCACGTCCTGCAGAATGTAGGTTGTGTTCATGTGGGAGGGTTTTGCACCTCAACCATCAGTTTCAGCCCTATTTAAACGTTAAAATATTTTTTAACCTTTGAGAGGAGTCAGAGGACTGATTTTCTGCAAAGATTAAGTCCTGGCCTTTTGTGCATTAATTCAAACCACTCACAGCTCTCTGTGTTTATATTTCTATAACAGAATTCAAAGAGACACTTGAGTTACAGTCTTAAATAATCTCACTTAGTCTCAGTTGTTTGGAGGTACAGAAACATTTTTACAGTTGGGAGCTGGGAGTGTGTGGCGCCTACTTCTTGAAATTCCCTGATGACTGATCAAGGCTGACGCTTGTGAGGCAAATCCAACCAAGCTCTTCCAGACACCACCCAGAACCCAAATATGTCACCATTAACTACCCCGTCTCAAAACTCTGACATCCTAATTATGGCATTCTGTGGTAAAAAGGCTTTAAAGATAAGGTGATAAAAAAAATAGCTTCCTCATTTTTAGCCACAAGTTTCAAGTAATAAATGATAAGCCAACGGGAGAAAGAAAAACAGACCGAAAAAATGCACAATATTTGCTAACTAGGGTTGTATGTCAACTAAAAAAATTGTCAGATTGCTCTATTATTTTCACCTGTGTAGCTGACTCTGTGAACTTTCCTGAAATTGTACACTGTGTCAGTAACCACAGCAATGAATATATTTATAGAATTCTGTGCAGCCTTATTAACATTATATTATAGCTATACGAAGCTCTAAAAACAAGCTACACTGTTTGTTTGCTTTTTATCAGTGGAAATCAAACAGTGTCTGCAACTACATTCCTTTATTTTTGGTTGACACAACTGCATCAACTAGAAGTCCAAAGAAAATTAGCAAATTCTTGAGCTGGATCTCACTAAACTAATGTTTTAAACTTTCTAGATTTTTTTTTTACAGCTCTGTGTGAAACTAGGGGTGCATCAAATGTCCTAGTCAGGCTGATCACTGATCTTTAAACAGTCTGAGCTGTCTGATTTTTATTTTTGATACAGATTAAACAAATATATACATAAAAATTCATAAAATTGGTGCACTGACAGTGGCTGATTTTCAGATATTTGTGGAAGTACGTCAGATAGGTGGATCAGGTTGGTTTTACATGTAAGCATTGGCAAATCGGTGCAATATGAGGGGAAATCATATTAATTTTAAAGAGCAGAAATTCCACAGGATTTAGTGCATTTTCTCTAAAAGCTGTTTTTCATATATGAACTGAATAAGAAGGTAACAGCAGGCAAAAAGAAAATGACTGCTGAGGTTAGAAGGCTCTAAAATGCAACATATTGTCATTTTTTTAATACTACAGTCAAAATTACTAGAGTACAAAGTCTAAAAAAAAGCATAAGACCTAAAAACGAAACCCATAAGGGAGGTAAAATAAAAAGAGATTATTTAAACTGTTTGTTTTTATTACGTTAAATCGTGTCAAAACTTTGCTGCAGTCACAGCATTTTGAGCCATCAATTGAAAGGGGATTACAACATCCTGCTTTCGTAGGAGGTTGAATTGGAGGCCGACTAGGTTACCCTGGAGACCATTCTGTGCCTTTGAGAAAATCCAATGGACACGCTGCTCTGATTGACATGTGCTATTGTGTGACTGCAGAGTGTGGCCTCCTGTGCTGAGAACAGAGCCAGCAGTTTTCCAAACACGCACTAATGCTCACAAGTCTGAACCAAGAAAAGGAAAAACATAAGAGCACTTCTATTTTACAGACAAAAGGAGAAAAGATCTGGATTCTAAAAAGACTGCATTTGCTGCTTTTAAGCACTAACTGGTAGTTAAAAAAATGTTCCCCTTAGTGTGCTAAAACCCAACAAAAACAGCAAAAAAATGTGTTTAAATTGTTTAAGTAGTGTTTTACCTTTGATCTCTGAATGCGACAAAATAATGAAACACAGTATCTCCTAACTTAGTAAGGCACAAATAAAACCTATGAGTAATTGTCCAGAATAAAGACAAATCAAGAAGCAGGTTAACATGTAATATTTGGGCTTAATGATTATTTACAATCTCAGTGGATTTACTCAAACTACCTGGTATTTCCGAAAAACCTCTTTTTTCATATTTCACTCATTAAAAGGAAAGAAAAAGCATATAAATCAGTAATAGCTGATAATCCACTTACATTTCTATTCTAAGAAGAAAACCTTTAGCAAGCATTTCTCGGTTTCCAGCTGATATGGTCTCAGTAGAACATACAGACTGATAAAAATGTGAAAACACATCTTTAAAATAAATGAATCTTTGTATTACCATAGCATAATATTTATATTATAGATACCTACTTGGCTAAATATATTCACTTAAAGAACTTAATACTTACTGATTTCTTTTTTTTAATACTCTCTTCTCTTCAAGGATTCTTTTTTTTAATGTCAAACATTTCATTTTAATCTCAAACTGTTTTCATAGGATTTAGATCCAAAAAGGATCAAATAGAAAATTCTGCTTCGGTTTAAAAGAGTTTCACATGACAAAAACTCTCACAAAGGTCTTACTGCATACAGGAAAAAAAAGACCCTCAGCATCACAGATCCTCCTGTACACCAACTATGACGTGCTTCTCAGCATGTTCACCCTTATTTTATCTGTCTATATGTGTGTGTATTTATATATATATATATATATATATATATATATATATATATATATATATATATATATATATATATATATATATATTCACTATACATATATACTATAAATGTGATACATAAAGGGATGCAAGTTATCTGTTAAAGAGATAATTTAAAGTCATTTGACCTTGTTGAAAAACTAATGATGACTTGGTGAGCAGCCATTTTTCCTCAATAACCAAATAAACCAAATAACTTTGATGTAGCCTTCTGTTTTGTTTTTAGGGGGTGCCAATACTTATTCTTTTAAATTTGAAATATTTATGTTAAATTAGATTTTTTTTTTTTTTACTCAAAAAATGTTGTCTAAGGGTGAATTTCAAAGTTTAAACAAATGAAAATTAAAATATGTTGCTCAAATAAAAAAAAAAATTTTTTTAAACTGATCTGACAACAAAGAGGTGATTACACGTACAAACTTGTCTTTGGTGAATTTTCTATAATTTAAAGTGTAATAACTAAATAAACAAATGTGTAAGTGTAAAGAATACATACATACCTCAAACTCTCCCTTTGTATACTTGGCATCAGGGACACTGACAATCTCATCATCGGTGCACTCTGGGAAACCCTGCAGGACCCAGGCCAAGTTTTAGCAAAAAAAAAGGTCCTAAATACCAGAGGTCCAAATGCGCAGATAGAGAACTATATTAATTCTGCCGCTTACCTTAAAGTGCCAAAGAGTGAGAAGAGCCACAACCATGGCGGTCGTGGTCCTGCCTCTGCCGTTAGAACAATTAAAGACGAAAGCTGAGTGGGAATCCTCAGCTAATGCAGTTTTCATTGCCTCCAGGAGCTTATCAAAGTCCTACAAAACAAAAAGTTCCCATTACTGTATGTATAAACTGACTGCAGGAAAGCTCAGCTTCACCTTGAGAAAAAAATGTAGATACCTTTATAACCACTAGAGGGAGCCTTAGTATTATTCTTTGCCCTGACCTGCCTAAATGCCTGAATTTGATTAATCTTGAATCGACTTGTTTTTTAATGTGTTGTACTGTAAGCCCATACTTTTTTAATGCCAAAAAATAGAAAATAAGAAAAAGAATGAAAGGATGCTTACTTCCTCCCTTGGTGAGCTGCAATCTGGCAGAGGGATTCGTTTGTACACAAGGCCTTGATGGGAGCTTTTGTGCTGGTTGAAGATCTCCTGAACGGTCAGGCAGCTTTTAAACATCTTAATCTGTTTCTCCCTCTCCAGGGTCACCTCCAGCCACTTCTGAGCTCGCAGAATCTCCTCCTTCAGGGAGGTTTCTAATTTCTGCAGAACACAGAATCATTTGCACTGGGAAAACTTAAGCAAAATATTTGAATCATGCCGATTTTAATTATTCGTTTAACTTAGATTACAATTTTCTTTTTCTACCTCAAGCAGCTGTGGATCACTCGTTGGGACAGGGATGTGTTGGTCCAGGCATGAGGGCTCCCTGGGAGTGAAGATCTGACCGTTTCCTTCAAGCGACAGTTCCTCCTGCAGGTTGATCCACAAAATGTGTCTGTGCTTTCTCTTCTCATCCGTCAGGTGGGCGAGAACCGCTCCGATGGCCTGCAAAGAGTGCAGTCAGGATTAAGGCAGAGAGCTGGAAGTCCAGCTCGAGCTTCCTGTGGTGGGCGTCTGAATCCTCATAAAACAATCATGATTGTTCCTGTGAATCTGTTTGCACTGATTACTGCAAAGTACCATGATGCATCTTAGCAATCTCTATGCAAACTAAACAGTAAAGGACTATCTGTTGGTTTCATTCTTTAAACCCTTTATTGTAAAGGTAGACATTTTTCCCATTAGCATGAATGCCAAAGTCTGAGCTTGTGATGGTTCACTTGATTACTGATCTTTAACTAAATTCTTTTTGCAGTCTTAAAAATAAAATCTTCTTGCATACAGTTGGATAATTCCTCACTTTTAGAACAGCTCATTAAAGCTGGTTGGTTTCCTGCTTAAATAATTATAAAAAACAGTTTTTATGTGTTTTTGAAAGTGCTGTCAAACGATTAAAAATTTTAATCGCGATTAATCGCATAATATCAACAGTTAACTCCAGATGAATCTCAAATGAATCACATATTTTATCTTTTTATTTCCGAAAGTACAAAAGCCTACTTGGACATTTTAAAAATGCAATTGTGCAATAAATGGCATGTAAAAAAATGCTCATACAATAAGTTTCTTTTAAGAAACTAGAATAAAAAATATCCTTATTTAAATTCTGGCAAATAATTATAAAAAAAAAATGTAAAAAAAAAAATGATGTGTTATGCTCCCATCAAAACTGTACAAAACTACAGAACAGTAAAGAATACTTCAAAGTACTCCCTAAACTTACGTTTTTTCAGCAGGACAAAAATACAGTTGTACTGTTAAAATAAAGTGCACATTGTGTTATGAAATATAAAGCTAATTCAGATAAAATGAGGTTAGTCACAAAATAATAAATAAATCAAACAAAATTATAATAACCGGCTATTGCAGTCATCTCAACAACATAACATTTTACATGTAGAACATTTTCAAAATACTAAAATATTTCTTTGCTCTGAACAGGAACTGCAGCAGCAGTGCAGTCCACATGACTTAGTTTATTTCTTTGTCTTGTTGGCTCTAAGCCTTCTGGCATAACTTTAAAAAGAAACTTGTCATTCACCTTGTCTGCTGGCCATTTTTGCCCATTCAAAGGACAGGTCTCTTATGCTGCGGACTCTCCTGCACACTTAGCATTCCTGGAACTACGGAAAGCGCTGAGGGTAAAACGAAAAGTACAGAGAGCGCTGCGGGAACAAAAAGAACACAAGCGAACGGTGCGTGTGTTTTGATGCGCGATTAACGTGCATTAAAAGAAATGTCGGCGGTATAGTTGTAAACAGTTAATGCGTTAATAACGCTTTAAAACTGACAGCCCTAGTTTTTCGGATAATGATGTTTCTGTAGGTGAACTAAATTCATTGTTCCACATGGAATGCTGGTGCTGTTACATTGTTCTTAGGTATAAAAGCCTCACTATGACCCCTTCCAGCATTGTTCTTGTCGCTTTGACTGAATAAATCATCTGGGTTGTCCATAGTTGTAGCAGAAAATGTTAGTCAACTAGTACTGTATTTAAAGGCAGGTGTTTCTTTTTTGATTTTATCCTCCCAGTTCATTGTGATGTCAAACCTGCTTTGCTAGTTTATTATCACTGGTTTCCTGGCTTGGTTTGATTTATTCTAACCAATTTTGTGACAGTACGGGTCAGATGAGGGAAGCTCGGATATACCTTTTTGTTCCAAAAAGATTATGGTGCCAATGGAATGATTAAAGAAGCTCTAAAATGTAAACTTAGACAAGGCGTTTAATATTTATACAGAATTAGATCTGGACTTTGTACCTCAATGACATATGTATCTTGGAAAAGAATTAGATGGCTTGTATTTTACAAGCTCAATATCTTCCTTGCATCTTCTCAAAATGCAAAGAACAGCAGAAGAGTCAGTCTACAGAAACGTTCGCTCATCTTAGGATGGTTCAAAAACGTCTCAACCACTGATTACAATTTGACGAAAGCATCAGTAACTACACTTCACCTCTGATGTCAGCTGTGCGACTCCATAAACAGGCATCTTGGGCACTCGTCTGAAGTTGGCTGCTTTCATCTCTTTGACTGTGCTGAGCACGTCGGGGGACAAGTACTCATCAGCAACCTGCTCAGACACAAGCAGTCACGTATTAATTACAGCTCCAACATAAAAAAACAAAACAAATGCAGAGTGTGTGTGAAGATGAGGATGAGAGCTCAGAAGGCAGCATGGGTGGCGGGGGTAAACCGGCACCTGGCCTGAAATGAAATTTATCTCACAGTGTGAAAACGTACTTATTTAAAAAAAAACTTCAAGAGATTATTTTGATTTAACTACATAGAAATGTAATGGTTTTTCAGATATGTACATACGTTTTTCATGGGTATCATAAGGCCATAGGTTGCAGCAATATTCCTCTTTTCATAATATCGATTATGTCAGATCCTAAACATTTTTAATATTAACAACCTTAGCTTTCCAAAAATCTAATATCCAGGGTCTTTAGTCCTTTATGTCAGTTTTAATATACAGAACATGCAAGTTTATCACCAACCACAGTGGTCTGGCTTTAAATATGGATCCCACAAAAACCAGAGACAATAAGGAATGGAAAAAAAGGAAATGAAGAGAAGAATGATGTATAGAATGGGAAGGAAGGAAGGAAAGAAAATAATACGACAAAATGGAAACAATGAGGGTAGAGCTGTAGGACGTAATGAAGAATAAGACGGAAAGGAAGAAAAAAGAAAATATCAAAGGGATCAAGGAGATAAGAGGGAAGGCTGGAGATACAGAAAAGAGGGGAGGAACTAAGGGACATATAGAGCAGAAAAAATGAACCTTTTTGTTTTTCGGTACTTAACAGTACTCAGAAGAAACCTAAAATTAATTTTCTTCCAGAAAGCAGACAGAATCTGACTCTGCTATAAAATATAAAACTGGGTAAAACTTCCCATTAATTATAAAATGAAGGCATACTGCCTAAAACAGTCAGCTGTGCTCCAACAGTTCCACAAATTAGGGATGTGTAACAGACAAAACAAAAATGGCTCTGTTGTTAGTAAGAATGGCCCAATCCAAGCTGATCAAACACAGGATGTGCAGGGAGTGTACAGCTGTTGTTTCTTTAATATTAGCACTTTATAAGCATTTATTGCAATCAAAGCATGTTCTGTAAAAGAAATGTAGATCTAAAAGGCCATCTCTTAAGAACTACAACAATTCAAGAACACTAAAGCAAAATTTAACACTTTTCATCGGCTTCTCGATTCCTCACCAGAACACGTGCTCCTTTGGTGACCAGCTCTGCAGGAGCAGAGAGCTCCGACACATCCATGCAGGCCAGCAACCTGTACAACCAGGCATGGCAGCACATCCACTGACTGAAGTTGGACATAAACGCCAGAGGATACTGGAAAACACAACAGAATTGGAGCTGATTTATCTCACAACTCTTGGTTATTTATGAAGTGTAAACAAACCTTACCTGTTCGTGAAGGTAAGCATTAAACACGATCAAGTAGAAGTAGCATTCCAAGCTCTGCTTTGTTCTGTTCAGAAAGTACTCTTTGGTACTGCTTCCCTAAAAGTCAAAAAGGAGAGCTATTATCTGCTCCATGCACAAACTGAAAAGGTCATCATCAGCCGCTATTTTGGACTTATTAAATCATAACTTTTCAAGGAGGCAGACTGCTGAAACCTAAATCTGTTGCCTTCGAGAAAAAAAAAAGTACGACTTACTTGTATCTGATAATCTTCTCCAATCCCTTCCAACTTTTTTGCATTCTCATATATTGCTTCTTTAATATTGTGCATCTCTGAGCACAATGCAATAGCATGGTCAACCTAAAAAAATGCAAATAACAATTTCAACAAAAGATATCACTATAACATGCTTGCCAAAAGTATAACAACATAACAGCATATTTGAAGGTTTAGTTGTTTTTTTTAAGGAGAATTTAGAGAAGCCAATTAACCTAACAGTCATGTTTTTGGACTGTGAGAGGAAGCAAAAGTACCCAGAGAGAACCCATGCCCACTCAGGGAGAACATGCAAACTCCGTGCAGAAAGACCGTGGACCGGGAATTGAAACCAGAACCTTCTTGCTGCAAGGCTGCAGTGCTACCCACTACACCGCTGAACAGCCGTGAAGGTTTAGGTCCGATCCAAATCTTGAATGTCCTTGAATGTCCTACAAGTCTTCCTAGGAGATTTGACAAAAGCCAACTGGCAAAGTTTGTCACTCATGGTTAAGTACTTACTGTCCAATAACCACAAGTTTCCTAGGGTTTCTGATTTGAATACAACAAGATTCTGGAGCTCATGACCACAGGCAGTTTTCTTTAATGTAATAAATTGGACATTTAATTCTAATTTAAAAATGTTGCTTCGCCTATAGATTCATGCAACTCTTGGATACAGAGTTTCTAGAGGAAGGAAGGAAGGAAGGAAGGAAGGAAGGAAGGAAGGAAGGAAGGAAGGAAGGAAGGAAGGAAGGAAGGAAGGAAGGAAGGAAGGAAGGAAGGAAGGAAGGAAGGATAATGTTGCATAACATGCATAAATGTACTGAAATCATATCCCTTTGCAGCTGAAGCCTGACTTGGAGCAAACAGTTTGCATTCATTTGCAAGTCGTGTGGTTAAATCAGCTGTTATCACAGCTACCCACTCAAGAACCAGGTTGGTATGCATCCTAAAACCCCTTCTTCATGCGAATCTAAGAGGCGCATGAAGAAAAAAACAAACAGGCAAAAGAACCCTGCTGTTATCACTGCTACTCACCAGACAGCAGTGATCAGCTACTAATGCTTACACAGAGCATATCCACATATGCAGTTATATATATGTATATATATATATATATATATATATATATATATATATATATATATATATATATATATATATATATATATATATATATATATATATATATATATATTAATATATCTATTCCTCACGTTCGAATGAAAGCTGTCTGATAATTTTTTTTCTCCATTATTCAAAAACATTTTTTGTCTTTGTTGCCTTAATTATTACCTCCATAATGTTGCAAAATTTTATATTGGTTGAAAACACTCCAAATTACTCTAAAAACTTAATAAAGCCATACACATCCCAACAGATTTGCAGTTGTAAATGTGTATTTTTTTATGTTTTCTAAGACTATATAGCTGCATCCTGGAGACCTTCAGCACCATAGCGCTCGCCTCAAAGCTCTCATTTGATGAACTTTGCCCCAAGCTCTTACCTTTCAAAATAAAACTTCACATTACACATAACCTTTATTTGTTGTGTGTTTTTTTAGGTTATGTCAACGAGTTTACGAGTTTATTTCCCGAATGGTAGTGGATCAAAGTATCTATTTAGGTGAAATCATCTGGTAGCAGGTAAAGATGAAAAATAAAAACGTTCTAATAGTTATGAGCGGTTCACCATCTAATGGGGTTCCTCATCTGTTTGATTCTGTCTTCTTTTACACAGTAAATACTAAGTGGCTGTTTCCAGCTGCTTCGGATGTTATCATCCCAATAAATCGTTGTTATTTGCAGTTATCAGTCCCATAGGATGGCTTCAGATTGTGCCAGTAGACTCAGTAGGTTGTTATCTCTGAGTGAATACTACTATTTATTTGAAATCTGAATATAATTTCAGTAGTTCTTCATGTACTGTAAAAATAAAAAACATTTTAATTTTCTTTTCTTTAATAAATAACATTTTAATAAGATCCTCGTTAAAAGTTTGCAATGCAATGTTTGTTTTTAAAAGCTAATGTGTCTAACACACCTAGCGAATTATTTCCTTTTTTTTAAATGCACAAGACTATAAAAAATCTGACTAAATCAGGAAATAAAACAACGTGATTGGCTGTAAGGAGAGTTGAGATAGAGGACAGTGAATAAAGGACAAGTGAATAAAGCCTGCTCTCGACCAGATTAGCTATGGGATGAATGTTACTACCGCTCTTGAAAAAGAGGTTAAGGTAACTCTCTTTGTTAAACAGAAAACTTAAGAGTTTCCCATATTTTAGGTTTAAAAAACGGACCCTTGATCTTTTCATGACAGCCTGAACAACACAGATCCGATTTTGTCCAATGCAACCCAGACCACTTGGCTTTGTGGTCCTAAATCCGACACGTATCTGATCTTTTCAAACTTGTGTCTGAACGGCCAGATCGCATTCATCCCACCTGAATGTTATTATTACTCAACAAAGGTCCCTCAACAAAGACACAGAAGAAGGAAGAAAAAAATGAAAGATCGCTAGATGCGCTCCAGCACTACCATTCTTGTTAACTTCCATAAACACAGAACACGCTGGCAACTTGTGACGTCATTGCATCCTCTTCTGCGCATGCAGGACAGATCAGCTCTATGAATGCATTTCACACAGTAGATTACATACAGGTCGCATATATTTAGAAATGTGAAACAATCGGATTTCAGCCAAAAAAATGGCAATTGAGCTTAAAGGCCTGCACTGTGAACATAGCCTAAGTTTAAGAAATTTTCACTAATTTTAGATTGTTTTTGCAGTGTGTAACTAGCTACATGACAAATCACTAAAAACAAGAGAAACACTTAATAATGGGCATCTTATCACCCAGAAAAAGTCAAGTTAAGTTGATATGTAGCAAGTTTTTCAAAAGGTAAGAAGCGGGGCTTGAGTTCAGCAGTCAATGCTGATGAGATGGGTGCTGTGATATAAAGGGTTCCCAGGCTGCAGCCACACTCTCCTTTGTTTTGTTTTTTTTGTTCTTTTTGCAGATGTGTGCAATACTACCTCTTCCATAACCTGCTGACCATTAGGCAGCTTGTTGATCAAACTCTGGATAACTTGAAAAAGGGGTCTTGGCTCTGAGGTAACTCCCTCCTCAACTCTGCAACACAAAGCAAATTTTCCACCTTCTATTTAAATAAACGACAAACTAAAATCTCTGTAGGCACTGTTGTATTAAAGTTTGGCAATGCAATGCAATAAAGCAATTTGGGGGAAGGGGGGGTCTTACTGCTGTGGCTGTATTGAGTCCCCTTTGAGCCTATTCATGACTAACGTGCCCAGGATCATGGCTAGGTTGGTGCGGCCGACGCCAACCTGGCAGCCAAAGAGGAGGGTAGGCGGCAGCTTGGATGCATTGTGACCCAGACACAAGCTGGGGCTCTCCTGCAACACAACACATCAGAAAAGAGAGGAGCACTGAAAATAGGCCATGAGGAGAAACAGCAGCACATCTGTGCTGATCAAATATGACTGTGAAGAATAAAACCAATCCTACAGTGATGTAAAAACTACATTCTGTCAGAGAAAACTGAAGTTTTAAGAAGTTAAATATTCTCAGTGGGAAGGATTAAGCAAGCTTAAGCTACATCTATATGAGTTAGTATCCTGAAAATAATAATAGGAGAGGGATTTACAAAAAGGCTGACTAAGACGATAAAGCACCTCATTAAAAGACGATAAATAAAAAAGAAAAGGAAAAACGGAGCCACTTTCCAACCACTTGGAGTGGAATCAGCTGCTGCTGCTCATTCCAAAAAAGGGCAAAATGAGACGGAGAGAACATGCTGCGTAAGTGAAGGGCAGGACAGAAAGCAGGCCGAAAGGATGACTGAGGAGCGGACATGAAGTGACTGCGGGCTCTTTTTTTTCTCTGATTTTAATCATATCTATAACATGATTAATTGCATGTGAAAGACGGATTTAAATGTGGATTAAATAAAAGACAAAGTGACCTTCTCTCCACATCGGTGACAGAGAGCAGACACCCTGCAATACTCCAGCCATTAATAACTTCAGTGGCAACCAGATTCAACAAGAAGAGCACCGCCAAAAAAGGGAGATTTAACTATTGGACTGACATTTTTACGTATACTTACCCTGAGTATGTTAACAAAGGCGTCAAAATCTTCTTCCAGTGGCGCTCCCTCCATTGGTAAAGGTAATCTGTAGTACCTGTATCGCAAATAATAACCCCAGAGGTGAACCTGCAGCCTTTGTTGTATCAATACAGTAGCATTGTTGTGTAGCTCAGGGCTTGTATCATATAAACACTCAGGTTTTCACTTATTTTGTCAGGGTGAAAAACCAGCTTTACACAAGCAAATATGACAAAGTGCAGTTTAGCTTTAAAGGACTACTATTGTTCATTTAAAAGCAGCAAAATGTAGTTTAAAAGGAAAAAAAGAAATAGGAAAAGGTGGAAAGAGTATGACTGCTTTTGGAAGGCACTGTATACCAAAGCACTTTGCTTCTCTGAAAATAAGGAAACCTCTGTCCCTTCGACGGAAGACTGCAGCTCATGTCGATAAATCAACAAACAGGATGCACCCATCTTCAGCGGGCACGAACCAATCAATCTGCTACTGACTGGTACTGGCCAGCTTTGAGCTTGACCACTTAACAGCTGACCGCCCACTCAGGCTCTGCAAAGTCTAACTTCTTCTCCTGTCAAGCACCAAAGCTAAGTAGCCAGACTGTTCCAGCAACATTTTTATTAAGTGTGGAAGATCAATAGGAGTATGAGCAGGTTGTTTAATGCAATAATCAGAGGACAACAGATGTAAATGCTTGATAAAACAGAAAGTTTACTTTACCTCAAGCTATATAAGGCTCTGCTGATGCTTTTTGGAATAGGTTTTGTTAAATTATCTAAGAGATGTTATCTAAAAATCCGATTTAAAATAGATGTTCTTTGTTTTGTTAGAAAAGTAAAAGTCTGTTTCTGTGTAAAGCTCTGATCTCTTCCATGAATTACTGCAGCATTTGCCAGTTTTTTCTGCCACTCAGTTTTTCATTAACAAGCTTGCCCAGCACTCTTTGACCACAGTCTCCTTCATGATCTTTCAACATAACATCTTTTTTATTATCAGCTTTTTTTTGTCATTACACTCTCTCAAGTACGGAGCAACGAAATGAACTCTCTGGATTTAACCCATCCCCTTGGGCAGCAGTTGGATGCCATTGTGCGGCACCCAGGGAGGAGTGTGGGGCTAAGGGTCTTTTGCTTAGGAACCCAGAACGGTAGTCTCTGGGAGTGGGGCTAAACTCAGTCACCTCAGGATTCCAAGCTTTATGCCCTAACCACTCCCCCAACATCTCCACTAACCTTGTTGTGACACGTATTAGAAACAAAACAAAAAAAGCTCCATGCTGTGTGGAAAAGCAAAATAAACAACCTGTAGCCCTGCATGGTGAACATCGGCCTCTTGTACACCTCCTCTGTCACGTGGATGTCCTCCTCACACGTTATGGACATCTTCTGGGGCTCATCCTTAAAGAACTCAATGTCATTGTAAACGTAGAAGACGTTTTCGTTGAGCTTTGCGAAGTCGTGGAGCTGAAAAGACACGACCTTTGTCACACGTCCAAAATCCTTTTATTATCCTGAATAGAAAGTGAATATCTTTGTAACCTCGTTTCTGATGCTGAGCTCCAGGCTTTCAACCGTCTCCTCGCCATGAAGCCCGTGAAGGTTCTCGTGTAGGTTTTCCTTCCTGCGCGGGGTGTACGGCACAAAGTCGTCATCCTTATGAAGGAACACCACTGGCTCTTCTCGCACGCAGAAGAAAATAATCTCCTGCTTGGAGAAAAGAGAGAAAACATCAGACAGTGGATGTGTGCAGCTTTGCTGTCATCATCCAAATGCAAAACTCAACCTGGTAAATGTTAAAGCGGATAATTTAGTTTAAACATTTTGTAATGGAAAGTTCAACCGCAGCATGATAATGTTACATATAAATTCTTCAAATGGAGACTGGAGACTCAATGTCTTACATATTTACAGCCAAAACTGAGCTAAAGAGGCCCGGTGAGCTACATACACTCTAATTTGCTAATCGTTTGTGTCAAACGAAGACAAGGAGCCCCTCAATTCTAGCTAAATGCTTGTTTAAAAATAAACAAAAAAGGATCACCTCTTGTCCCTGTGACTGGAGTCTCTGGAGAACCTGTTTGAAGCCATTCAAGGTCGGCTGACCCATTCCATAGAGGGGGTAGGATCCCTTCACCTGCCGGAAGTTGGGCGCTCCATAGCTGGCCGTTGTGTTTAAAACATCCGCTTTGCTGTACACATCCTGCACCATGAAGTATTCGCCCTGAAATCATTCATCTGAATGAGTCAGAGGGCATGACCCTTATTAAGTTTCACTTGTTTTTCTTCTTTTTATTCAGTTCCCAAGTTCCTGACCTCTTCTTTGAGCAGGAAACAGCACAGCAGACACAGACTGGTTGCTCTGTTGTCTCAACAGCGTAAATCTCTGCTGTGTACACTTCAGCACTTCGTGAGTGGGTCTATGAGACCAATCCCTACAAAGAATGTATCTTCCTGTCTTAATGGCATTAAGATAAGCTCGAAAACAGTGATTTAGGTGTGTAAAATCGATACCAAAGTCAATCAAACATTTAGAAAGACACCATAATGGACCAAATGAATTACTCAAGTTAAAGAGGCATTTTCTAATGATAAACAGATGCTTACAAGCAGCACTCTTTGAACATGGAGAAGCAGCATTTAGTTCCTATGCTCCACTTGCAAGTGCGGAAAGCCTGAGTTCCTTTAAATCAAGACTAAAAACACATTTGTTTATGATTGCCTTCCACTGTTCTAGGTAAACAACTGAAACATCATTAGTTCAACTTTTTTATTTTCTTTAGTCCAATTCTTTTTAATGTTCTTTTTTGTTTCTGCATTTTTTATTTTATCTTATTTATTTATTTTTTCCTACTTGCTTTGATTCTGTTTTATTTTCCTATATTTTAAACGTGTAAAGCACTTTGCATTGTCTTTGTACTGAATTGTGCTATACAAATACATTTGCCTTGCCTTGAACAACCAGTCTTTCTATCATTACCAAATTTAAATGAATTGTTCCTAGGCAAGAAGGCTGATTTATACTTCGAAAATAGGTCGTTTGCTTAGGTGTCGCGGTGAACGCAGAGATGTCCCCGCCCCCTCCGCAGTCAACCCGCTGCACCTCCTCTAAACTGTAGGTGATTGCAGACAGTGCCGCAGACAGGAGGCCTCTGATTGGTCAAATCCACATCCACTCTACACTATGCGTATTTCCTGTTTGCTACCTTACTGGCTTGTATTGTTTGTTTGACCATGATTGCGGAAAACGAGTAGCGAAATTGGACCAGCTGGAAGAGCAAGGTGTGTGAGAACGCTGAAACAATTTTTCCACCTGGATCCTCATGTCCCTCCATTGTCGGACAAACTCGCCCCCACTTCCTCAGCGCCTTGGCCGTATCTAGACCCACAGTTAGGTCGTGATTTTCCCCTAAACATACCGCAGACCACACTTCAATATTGAGCATACATCAAAAATGTCAGCTTCATACCTGCCAACAGCTCACTGCGACAAACTGCTGCAGGAGCATAACCAGCCTTTGAGGTGCACCTCTGGTAAAAATAAAATAAAAAATCCAATAAAATCCATTGATAAGTTTTCAATTGATCCAGCTAACAAATCAACAGCGTTCCCTTTTGTGTTTTTATCTTCGGTAAAATACCTCTGGACTTTTTGAGTTCTGCTGCCACCCTGTGGTTTAGGGGGAAATAGCTTCTTCCGCCAAATATCCCTATCTCACAATGTTTGAGAGAATCTAATATTATGCTGATGATCCAAATCATCAGCATAATTTAAGGATTTTTCCTTGGCATGATGGACACCTCTGATAAAAAATTTCATTAAAATCCGTTCCCAGGGTTTAAAAGTTCACAGCTCACGATGCACACTGTGCGGCCTGACGCTCTGATGAGATTCTTACGACGGCCGATTGAATTTCAAACATGTTTGACTTTCTCCCGCCCTCTCCTGATCGGGAGGTGGTCGTGACAGACTGATTGCCCCTCGTTACACCCTGTTTACTACACTAGGCACGATCAAGCTGAAACTCTGCCCGATCGAAAAATTCTCCCACGACTGGAGAATCGTCCCGAAAATGGCTAAAAAGTGTTTACCCGGCTTCACACACACAGTATACAGTGTCTGTTGGAGCTACTGCTTATAGTTATAAGAGTAAAAATCTGAAAAAGTTTTTAAGGGGAGTAAATACTTTAGCATTTTATATCCATATATATCAGGTTAAGAGTCTTGCTCAGAGATCCGATGTGGCAGTGTGTGGGAGTGGAGCTCGAACTAATCTATGCCCCAACCACTAGGGCGCCAACCTAGAATTAGTTAGATAGCTATTTGTGTAGATTATATGTATAGATTTAACCTCATTTAGTACCTTACATGGAGGATAACTTTTTATTTTTATTTTATTTAATATACAACATATATTTTTATGTTCAAAAGCCAAAATGGATGCTTCTTCTTGGTCAAACATGCCCTTATCTTATCCCACTCATAAACAGAAGCCTAACAGTAGAAAACTGTGTATGCAGCAGAGGTGACAGTGCACATCAAAGACTTGATAAGGGGGTGCCAAAAGTTCTGTTACAATCCCCGTCTCTGATCATAAAAAAACGAATGACAATGTTCCAACACAGCTCTGCAATTTGGACACGTAGATGTGAAAACGGCAAACACAGAGGACAAGGCGAGCTGGCTCCACGGCTTTCTGTGATAAGGCAGCGGCTTGTTTTCACTTCAAAAACTGCTGGTAGGTTGAGGCGTCCTTACCTTAACAAGGTAGTGCTCAGGCAAGGCGTCTGATATCCGACCAACTTTGTAGTTGGCTTTAAGGATTTCATCGTGAATTTGAAACTCTTGTCTGCAGTTATATCTGTGTAAAAACATGTTTGCAAAAAAGGGGGCAAGTTTAATTATCTGCTACTGTTTGCTCTGCCTAAGCAGACAAACGAGATGATAACAGAGGCAAACATGCTTGGAGTTTGTTTGGCGAGAGGTTGGGGGCACCCCAAGTGCTCAAACAGGATTAACACCCAACCGTGAGAACGCAGCTTTGAGGAGGGACTTACGTAATGACGACTGGTGCAACCTTGTTGGTGATAATGGACTTGGCTTTGTTGTTGTGGATGCTGACCGTATGGAACGGGCTCATAGTGCTGTCGGCCATCCCGTTGGCGTGGACGTTGTCAAGCGGCGGCGCTACATAAACAGGCTGTGGGGCAGCGCTGGCAGTTGTACCCATGCTCCACAAGCTGCTGCGAATGACATAACAGTGGGACTCAGAGACAGAGAAAAAAAGCGACAACAAGGGGGCCTAAGGGGGTCTGAAGAGACACTAAGAATGTCTAACATGTGAGAAAGGGGTGGTTCCTTATATTGAGCTGAAATAAACACATGAATAAAAATACTTACTGGGTATTTCTCCATTTGGTAAAGGGTTTTGTGTTTGAGCCATCCCCTTTTTATGCTTTTTCAATGCTCCCTTTTTCAATGAGCTTTTATTTTCTAATTTGTTGCATCCTAAGTGTTCAATGTTAAATTCACTGATTTCTGAACAATTTTTACTTTTATTTAGCTGCTGTATGCAGAGTACTAACAGTTGTTTTTTTGATAATATTGATATGTTTTAAAAAAATGTCTAGGTCTGGTAGCTGGCTTGATGGATGATTGGATGGATAATAATGCAGGGCACTTGAAAGAGAACAATGGAGTCAGAAGTCAGCCTGAAACACTTAATGGATGAAGTGTGGCTCATTACCATGGAAACCACGGATCAAAAGCGTTCTAATAAGGGGTAAAACTTGTGGTGGATGTGAGAAGGTTGATCATAAACCTTCCTCTTTCAGCTGCTTGTAATGTTGTCATCTTTACCCCAACTTTTCATATTGTAACCACAGACCTCAATGTATTTCATAGAGTTTTATGTGAACAATTGTTAAGTATGCATTGAAACAGATAAAAAAAAAATCAAGCTGAGTTATATAAGGAAGTTAGGATTTTGGTAAAAGTGTCTTAAAACTCCACTACTTTAAGACTGAACGAGAAATTATTTTATTTGTTGCAGGGTGAAATTTTTTTTATAATGTTTTAAATAATTTAAAGTTGTTGAAATGAGCAGCTTCAGCATTGTGCTTGTGGACTGAGCAAAGATTGAAGTTGAAAAATGTTTAACATCATGAAACAAGGTTAAGTTCCCCGATCGCTCATATATTTCCCCAAACGTAGCTTTTTAAGTTTATGTCTGAATTCATATCTGCATTATTGGCTGTACCATGGCAACAATGTAAATAAGTCAGAAATATTTAAAACTTAAAACATCTGGGGAAAAATAGAGAAAAAACACAATTGAGGAAGTTTAGCTCGAGATTATCCAGAAAAAGATTCAGTCTTTACTCGTAGGGTCGTCACAATACTAACATTTCAAAGTCAATATCGATACCCTGGAAAACAATTATACTTAATACTATTTTAGATGCCGTGGGGATAAAAAAAAAGAAAAGAAAAAAATTAGGGATGGGGAATTATTAGATTTTTTTTTCTGTTAATCCTTTTTTTGGTTTATGAAGATTTAGTTTTTTCAAAATCTGGATTTTTTTTTTTCCCACTACTGCATGCCTTAGACTTCCATAACTGATATTACTTCAACTGATATTACAAAATGTTAGATTACTTCATCACATTTTGCTCTGAGAAATGTACTCATAACTGATAAACTATCTCTGTTTGATACCACTAACTAACTGCAAACATTTTGTACCTCGGCTTTCTCAATCCCAGCATGGAACATGCTTTCTCAACAGAATCACAGATGTTTGGTAAATAAATGAGCAAATAAATGTAAAATAAACAACCCAAATATAACACAATATGTAAAAATGTTAGGGTTTTGTTTTTTTTTTGCAATTCACATAATCCAAAAATCTAAACTTTAACAAGCATACACTTGCATTACCTCCCTTCTTGACATTTGGAGATTTTCCTTCGTCTCTGTGAATTTTCTGTTGTTTTTTCCTGCACTATGTTGCACATAATTTGACATAATCTGATTAGGCCAAATGGTAACATGATGGGGGTTTTCCTTTACTTTACTTTACAATCTGTTGTAATTTTTTATTTCTGGCTTTGACGTCAACACAGCTGAATTTCCCCAATCTGAGACGATAAATGAAAGTTTAATACTATTGTCTTCTATTCTAAAATGGAGGGATATATTTCTATTAAAATACTTCTATAGCACCCAAGAAAACTTGAAACGGAGGCTGACACGAGCCTGTCACGGGTCTCCTCCCATCTGAAAAAACATAAAACTGTTTTTTTTTTTTCTTTTTCAGAAGCTTCTGCAGATAAACAAACCCCGAGACTCAGAAGCAACACATAAACTGTAGATAGACCTTGAATATAAAATATCCTCACAACCCCTATACATGTTTTAATTAAAATCAACATGTTGTCGCACAGCTCAGCTGAATGTTTGCTGTTAGAGCTGAAAGCCTCTCTGCTGTATCTTGAGCTCTGAATAAAATTCATCCCTGGCTGTACGTAGAGAGGGTTGCCAGATGAGTCACAGCCACTCTCTTAGTTGCTGCGTCTGGAGATCAGTGGGTAGATCAACCTTGTACTCAGAAAAGCTTTCAAGCCAATAAAAAGATCCACAATGCTGAAGCATAAACCAGCAGAAAAAAAAAATGTTTTTGTTTTTCTGTCTCTAGACAGTTTTAAATCCTTTTGCAGCTTTTAGACAATGTAAATGAAGAAGTAAAAACAAACAAAGTCCCAACCTCATGTTCCACAAAAGCAACCTTTTTTTAAAAGAGGACTTTGCTTCAGCTTCCCACATCTATTTCAGTCTTAGCCACATACCAGAAGCCTCCCAGCTGCCAAAGATCTGCAGCCATTAAAAAAGAAAAAACAATAAAAAAAACTTTTCTGCACAAGAATCAACTCAAACCTGATCTCTTACAAATGAGACGGGGAGCGATCTCCGCTTCCAGAGCTTTTTCTCTGCTGCTTGTTGTCTGCCATGGTCCCAAAAGAGTGTGAGAACTTGGCATCCCATCTAAAGAAGAAATATATTCCTCTCTGGAATCCCGTCACCCGCCCCCCCTTAGATGGTGGGAAACACCCCTCGCGGGAAATCAGAGCCCCTGACAGCTTGGCATTCAGTGAAAAAAAAAAAGGAAGAGGAAGAGAAGAAAAAAAAATCTAAGTTTTCAGACAACGTCCTGCACTGCTGCGTGCTATCTCCTGTCTGAAGTAGGGAAGTGGATTTAAGCAAAAGAGTTGAGTCTCTACGGAGGAGACCGACGGAAGTCGAGGTACATCTGGTGGCCAGATGACTACAGTTTAGGTCCGTTCACATAGGGTGCTCAAAAAAAAAAAAGACTAGTGTACTTCTCAGAGTAAAGCACAATACTATAGGCTATAAATGCAAACCAACATAATTGTAAAAAGGATAATAACAGTAAAATGCTTTGATTTTATTTAATCACTCATCAGAGCAATTATCTAAAGTTGGTATTAGTTGCATCGCAAAAGTTACCAGCAAAAACTACAAAGAAAGAATCCCATCTTTGTACTCAACAAAAAAGAGAAACATGTTCTTTATGGTGTGAGTTGTTATAAAGAGCCTATTGCAACATATGCACAAAGTATGAAACCTAAACTACGGTTCACATTTCCAATTTATTTAAAGCAGTCAACTAATAATAACACCTGCGTTTCTGACCTAAACTGAACCCTTTTAGCTACATCCTATATAGAAGGAATCCACTACTAAACAAAGAGGGTATGCGTCTCAGACTGCACTGCCTGGCTTTCTTGACAAGAGAATACCCTTTAAATGGGTATACTGTATGTCAAATGAGTGTCCTACAGCACTTTGAATTGAGTTTGTACTGAACTAAACTATACAACTAAACATGCCTTGCCTTATATAATTACTGGTGGAACAGACTTTACGCAAAGCATAATGTAGTCATACATTGTCGTCCACATTATGCCATTGCACGTGGCTGTAATAATCAGGAAGTAGAGGCTACAAAATAGCACTGACCACAGATCAGCAATGGAGGAAAGTTTTAATGATTGGGTTGCTATTTGGCAGGTTGTTGGCCCTATTTTGTCTCTACCTTTCTTATACCTCATCTAAGATAGCTAGGTTATCCTGAGCTATTTTCTGTACCTGTGCTGCTATATGTTTGGGGTGCTGGATGAAATTGGGACCACTTTTTCTCATTCTCTTTCATTCTATATCTTTTCTCTCATTTTGCAGTATTTGCCAAGTTCCAAGCATACCTTTGTGACTCCATCCTGGATAGAAATATCAGCTGTGCAGCCGCCATCGACATATCTGTTTATAGATGTTGGAGATTGGCCTTTTTCCAGGGTAGTCCTGTTTCTTTTACTGTGACTGACTATATATGCTCTCTTTCATCCTCACAAGAAAATCAGCTTGTCTGCCTGACTGTGTTTCCTGGACGGGGTCAACTGTAGAGCTAGTTATCAGTTACCTTTTGTATATGTGCTGCATTTTGTATGTCTGATTCTATCTCATTGACCCCTAGTTGGCCTCTCACACTGAGCCTGGTTCTGTTGGAGGTTTCCTCCTGTTAAAAGGTAGTTTTCCTCTCCACTATCGCTACATGCATGCTCAGTGGCAGGGATTGCTGAAGAGTCAAAGACAAAATGCAAGCAATAATCGTTGCCACAACCTCATCCAGGAGGAGTATGTCCTGCAAGTCAATGACTGCAATCAACTTTTTTTCCTAAACAATCTGAATGTATTGTCTCTATAAAGTGCCTTGAGATGACATTTGCCGAAGCTATATATAATTAAAATGAATTGAATTAAAGTTGTTGTTACGTTAACATATCAGTATCGCAGCTATTTGGAAAAAAGTGTTTCCATCTTTTCATTTTGTCACTTCAATCAAGCTTTTCTGACACTTGATACTTGATGGAAACAAATCTAACGACTTTCTGTTCACAATGAGTTATATTAGCCGGAAGTTAGTATATGATATCTTTTGAGTAAACTAACCGCAAAAAGGAACAGTAGAGTATAAACAGTGTGTCAGGTAATGCCCTCAGCATAAAGTCAAGATATTATCTAACATTATCCTGTAGTCTACTATATATTCAAGTGTTAAACTAATTATGGGGCTGATCAGAAGGGAGCAGAAATTGAAATGTCCATCTAAATGCTGTTTTAACAGCCCTTCCCTTCTATTGCAAATTAAAGGCATAGCCCGCATGCTTTTCAATTTGTGGCAAGAGTGTTAAGGCAAATTTATACTCAGAAACCAGGTAGTCTGTGTGTGTGTCGCAGTGTAAACAAATATGCTCCCAACCCTTCGGCAGACACTCTGTTGATCCTCTTCAAAACTGTAGGTGACCGCAGACAGTGCCGCAGACAGGAGGCCTCTGATTGGTCAAATCTACATCCACTCTACACTATGCTTATTTCCTGTTTGGTACCTTACAGGCTTGTTTTGTTTGTATGACCGCCATTGTGGAAATCGACTTGTGAAGATGGACCAGCTAGAAGAGCGAGGTGCGCGAGAACGCTGGGACCCTTTCCACCTGTATTCCCGTTCTTTTTCGCCCTCATGTTCCTATGTTGTTGCACAAACTTGCCCCCACTTCCTCACTCACCGTATCTAGACCCACAGCTAGTTCGTGACTGTTTCGCATGTGTTCTGGCGTGGAATAACATAGTTCAGACCATGCATCAATATTGGGCATAAATCAAAAATATCTGCTACAAGCTCACTGTGACACACTGCTGTGGGAGGATAACCAGCCCTTTAGTTTGTTAAGTCTCCCAACTGCTCCATCTCTCCTGACAGTCTTTTCATCATTAGATAATTCACCACATAAATCTTCACTCCATAATCTTATATATTCCAGTGAAAGACTGAACTATAGCTACTACTGCCTTAAAACAAGATCTTATAATGGGCTGATTTTCTAAACCTAACACCCTCATTGCTTAGGGATTTTTGGGACTATTTTACAGCTAGGCTTTTCATAAATGTCCTCATTTTGGACATAAAACAACAGATAGATAAAGTAAAAAAAATGATGATATGCTTATAAATGAACTGAAAACAGTTTGTACCTCAGTACATGAAGAGGCCAGCTGAGAACATGTCACATTACTGCTGCTGCAGAACAACATTCACCACCTCAAATATTTGGTGCATCAGAGCGTTTCCTCCACCTTACCTTACTTTCTATCATCTCTGCCATTGTACTCTCAGGTTTTTTCCACCAAAGCCAGGGGTGTTCGCAAAAGCCTCCAGCTCATAAGCTAAGGCAAACTCAGTCTTGCAAAGCAAGCACAGTCAGGGCGGAGGCTTAAAGAGAGAACTAGCCCTCAGTCATTAACTTACTGATGAAGGGCCAGTAATGGCAGAGAGGCTGTTTATTCCATATGTCAACTGCAGCAGCGCCACGCTGCTTGCTGTCCCATTTTTTTAACAAGGCAAACAAAAAAACCATAGCATCATTTAGGGTGGCTTCCAAAAACCTTTAAATATCAATTCAGCTTTTAAAGTTCAAGGTTAATGATGGCTTTTCAATAAAATACCAGAAAAGCACACAAGTGCATTGTTTATCTATCATGTGACCGTCTTTACTCTGACACCCCCGAAACAAGAGGTCACTTAGCAATTATCGGTAAATAGAATCCACCCATCTGTAATTTAATCTCAGAATAAATACAACTGTGAAGGCTTTAAAGGCTTGTTCGAGGATATTATGAAAACTAAAGAATGTCTCAGGCAGGTAAAGGATAAGGATGTAAAGAAGCATCTGGTTTAGGTTATAAAACAAATATCTCAATCTTTTATTAGCCATATTTCCATTAATTTTATGTGCAATTAAAAGTAAAGCATCAGACAGTAAACATGGAAAAGGCAAAATTTGAAATACCTTTATTTTTAAAAAAGTTTCAACCCTCTCTCCGGTTTTGTCTGAAGAAAAGGAATGTACTAAAGCAGGAGATGGAAACACATTTTCTGTTAAGTTCTAGCGTATTAAAACGTGCCTTTACCTGACAGAGCAACCCACTTAGAACAGTAATTATATTAATATTGTCAGAAAAAAATATTGTCAGTAAAAAAAATGTTGCATTTTAGATTAAAAACTTGTTTGTCTGTCAATATGCTCTATTGAGAACCCCTCAAGTGAAAAAGTTTTAGTTTCACCTGGTTTAATTTTGCAAAAAACTCTTCTTTAATGAACCTTTGGCTATCCGATTATAAATCGATTAATCGAAAAAATAATTGACAGATTAATCAATTTGCAAAATAATCATTAGTTACTGTCCTACTTTCATACCTAATGCGCAAAGAGAAACCTGTACATTTTTGGCATTACAACACCTATCGCTGCTATACTGACCCCATGAAGTTTCATCTATACAGTCATACTTTTGTGCGAATACCATCTTCTGCTCCTTGAGCTCCTTGGGCTAAAAAACAAATGGATGATAGACGTTTTCAGACAAATGAATGATAGAATCTAAAAGAAAAGTAACTATTATCAATAATAATTTTTGAAGAATTTTGAGTTTTTTAAGGTTCATCATTACATGATAAAATGTTAAACATTTCTGGAAGTATGAATAGTTAACAGTTTGATTGGCCTGTTTTCCAGTGTAGTCCTGTTTCTCTGACTGTGACTGGCTGGATGTACTGTCTTCATCCTCTGATATGGGAGTCAGCTAGGAGCTCATCTGCCTGGCTGTGTGTTTCCTGGACTTGGCTGCCTTTTACAGTTGCTTTATGTATCTCTGCTTCTGTCTCCTTGAACCCCAGTCGGCCTCAGCAGATGGCCGCTCACACTGAGCCTGGTTCTGCTGGAGGTTTCTTCCTGTTAAAAGGGAGTTTTTCCTCTCCACTGTCGCTACAAGCATGCTTAGTCTGAGGGATTGCATTTGCGTCAATGAGTCGATGCAATCAACTGGTTTTCCTTAGATAGAAAACTTTGAATCAATCTGACTGTATGATCTGTTGAACTGTAAAGTGCCTTGAGATGACATGTTGTGAATTGGTGCTATATAAATAAACTGAATTAAATTGATCTTATTTTTTTAGCTCACTTTATATCTAGAGATTTCTAAGCTGCAAACTTAAGGAGGTATCTGCCGGTGGCACTCGTGCTTAAATGTGATGATGACACAGTCGAGTGTTAGACCATGGAAAACAGAACCTCCCACCAGCCGACCAGTATCGCTCCATTCAGGCCTGCTCCATTTAAATTCATACGGTGTCCCAACTTCGCTGTCGCTACATCTTAACACAAAAGAGTCTGCTTGCAGACAGGAAGGAGCTTGCAGCTGCAGGATGCATCTGTTGCTGGCCTAGAGGAAGGATGCGGAGCTCTCTTCATTCAGAAGTCATGCAGGGGTTCGAGAGCGAGACAAGCGTGACACATACACAGATCTTTCAACACCACATCCCATACTAAGGTCACAAAGAACGCCACAAGCATGGTTGCAAAACCCACAAAAGATGAAAAATACAATTCACTTATGCAAAATCTGTCATCAAATTAAAGGATCTTGCTGATTTGTTGATGTATTCAGTCTGCCGATGATTCATTTAAAAGTGATCGTTTGAGCAAAAAATCAAACAATCAGATAGTGATATGTGAGATGAAATTGCAAAAAGAAAGAAATGCATATAAGAGTGTGTGCACCATTTCTTCAATATAAAACCCATAATAATCTCATTATGCAAAACAACAGGAATAACATCCATCTTAACCTAATTGCATGGCAAAAGGGGAGGGAGAGCAAGAAAGCACCTTCACAGGAAATCCTCAGCGGTATTCTCTGAAGCTTCCAAAGCTGTGTACATCAAATGAGGTTAAGGGTTAGGCACAAGCTTGCCCCTACAGGACACGGCAAGGTCCTGAACTGAAATATCAGAGATCTGACTGGAAATGAGCTCAGAGGTCATTTTGGTTTTATTTTGTTTTGCTTTCCTCTAACTGACTCAATTCATTGTGCATTTGTGTCAACTTGATGTTTGTCTAAAAACACAAATCAGCACTGAAATGGGAGGCAGAGCAGTTCCATTGTTAAATTGCAAATCTGATCAAAACATGTGAAACTCCTTTAACACAGCAAGATCAAACCAGTGCATAAACAGATGTGGTATAAAACAAATCCTCCAGATATGTGACATAAATCAAATAAATAAGTTGGGCAGTTCTGCATTTTCTTGAAAGAGAGCAAGGGATTCTATTTTTAAAACCCATGCCTGTAATTGATTCTATGTCAGGATTGCAATTTTAGCCCTCTGATTTCAAGCTTGCAGTAAAATGCGGCTTTATTTTATTATTTTTTTTCCTCCAAACCCTGGAGTCTGACCGCAACATTCTGTCAGTGCCGCCGGAGCAACTGACAGGACTTTCGATCTGCCACCCGCCCCAAAAATCTATTTTCCGCGGGAACACAGAGATTTTACTCTGATTTGTTTCTTTCCATTGCAGCTCAGACCAATGCAACTGCAATAAAAAATGTGTGTATTCAATGTTTATTTTAGCTTTTTTTGTACCTAACCTTGCACAAGAGGTAAAGAGGATTTTTCTTTCTGTTTCAAGGTGTTGCATGATTCATTGAGTAGAATCTTAGTGTAAAATCCAACAATCTAATATTTACCAAGGATACAGAAAACAGAACTCTACAGCAAAAGTCTGGCATTATAATAAAGAAATATCCCAACTATACCTGACATTCAGCTCTTCGCTCCACCCTCTCAGAGGCTCACAAGTGTAAAACAGCAGGTTGAAAACAAACTGACAGCTCTACAGGCAGCAGACGACAAGTCTCAGTTACAAGTCCTCTCTGGCATCTCTCTCTCGGAGAATCTGTCAGGCAATTCGTCTCTGTCCGCTGATCAAACTACAGTAGGCGGCAGTCTCTGCATTATTAGAGGGTCCTTAAAAAGCAAGTCCACAGATGCGTCCTTCACTGAGGACAGATCCCTGCTGGGAGGTGACTGTCGCTACAACTCTCTGGTAGCGGTTAAGGTGTGCAAAGGTATGCTCTGCTCTGTTAGTTGTCTGTGACTTTTTTGTATGCATCCCCTGTGTACGAGGTGCAAAGGCGCTCGTGCATGACTGGGTATTGTGTATGTGTGTAGAGAGGATGTGGAGGCGGGTCTAGAGAGGCTTACTCATCATCCAGTTCACCACCTCAGCCCCCGCCTGGCACTGCTGCACCTTTCAATCACATGGCAAATCTCTTCACTTAGAAACGAACCATTACTATCAACTATGCAGTTAACCCACATCGACACGGTGTAACATAAGCTCTGCCGAGGGGGTTGACGATCGCTAACAACTGCACATAGATGACATCACATAAGCCTAATTCACTACAAAGCTCTAATTACTCCATTCATTAGCAGTTAACACATGGTATGTTGAAGGCAAACAGGCTTACAGCTGGGCAAATACTTGCATTTAAGCCTGAGCTTCAGCTGCAAACGGCTGTCTGCTGTACTGTCTGTAGTTATAATCCTAACATCTCAGAATACACCTTTATGCAGATGCACAAAGACTAAACACTTTAGAAACAATACCTTTTCTTTGCAAGACAAATAAGACTCAAACAGATTTGTTGGACAGCATAGGAGAAATTAGATTTTACTGGACCATTCACTGGACAATTATAGCTCTGTGTGTAAATTTAGTGTTGTTCCTGCTAACAGGTAAACTTCCAACACAGCCTTGTGTATTTTTTCCCGGTCTTTTTGTCTTTATATTATGTCCCACTAGTGAAAAGGATTTCCCAAAGCATGATGCTGCCATCTCCACCACATCACAAAAGGGTTCATTTTCCACCTTATTCTAATAACCTATCAAATATTCATTCCAAGCTCCTATGGAAATACATTTTTATGCACATTGATGCTGTGATCGGCATCAGATACAAACTGCAACTCTAGTTAAAATGGATTTTGTTTAAGGGGATCAGACAAAGTAAGGGATGCATTCAAATGCAACGCCACACCTTTCAGCTTTTTTATTTTTGTCAATTTAAAAAAAAATCCTTGTGCTGTTCTGTCACATAAAATGCTAATTTAATAAATCCAAGATTTAGACTGTGTAACAACAAAAAAGTAAATTAAGCGGGAAGGATGCAGCATCAGAAAGCCGGTAATATTTTCATATAAATGCAAACTACAATCAACAGTCTTTCAAAAGATAATGCCCACATTAGGTTTCTTTGCCAGAGTGCACGAGCAATTACGAGACATGGATGCAGAAATCTACTACTGCCACACCTGTTCCTTCCTTCCTGCAGGCAGTGAGCCCAAAGACTCTGAAGTTCTTGCCATTAAAAGTGAAACCAAACCCTCCCATTGCCTGCAGAAACCCCAAGCGGAGAGAGACGAGTAAGAAATCGGTTTTATATAAAGGACGGGAGTTATGATTAAGGAAAAATTAGGAAAAGATAAGCAGAATTTAATGATATATATAGCATGATGAAATATGTATGCGTTCTGACAGCTTCCCTTCGTTCCATAATGGAAATAAAGAGGAAACAAAAGAAGGATGTTCTGTGACAGATTCGGTTAAACATCCTCTGTGCTTAATGTTCCCGATGGAAAAAACTGCCCAAGCCTCGGATCACCTGTGCTAAATATCTCTCTGTTCTGTTCTGTGTCATGCTCAAGAGACATAAGTGTGTTTAGTAAAGCATGGTGCAACAGGAAAAAGGAGGCGAGAACAGGAAACTGTTTTTACAAGTTCCAAAAGTTAAGAATCGCTCAGAAAGTGTTTGCCAAATCTAAGATTATATCACTGATGTTTTCACAGCTGCGTCATTATTCTTCAAGGACAGAGCAGCTGAAGTCCACACTATATTCCTGCAGAGCTTCAGGGAGGAGCAAAAGATGATCATGGAGATGCAGAACGCCCTGTAATAGGGATATAATCCGATTCCCCCCAAAGTGCATTCATGAAATGCGACACCTTGTGGTGGAAAAAAACAACAGCATTGCACAATGCCTTCAACACTCAAGAGATCCCCTCTGACGATCTATTTTGTCACATCAGCTTTTTAACTCACATAAAGCTTAATGTAAAAAAAATTAATCAGTTCAAACAAGCTAACCTAGATGCATTTCTGAGACAGAACCCTAAAACCTTACTGTTACAAATTCAGAGTATTTTTTAGCATTTTATGACAGAAAAAAAAAGTAGACTATAATTGTGAAGATTTTTCTACATTCTTTAAAAAATATAGACTGGAACTGCAGCTGAGCGTTCTGTGGGTTATAGCAACAATCTTTTCGATGCGACCAAATGGGCTCGGTCATTAAATGGGGCAAGAAGTAGCAATTTTCCACAAATTCTCAAAAAGTATTCAAACTATTCGAATGTTGGGTTTCTGGATGTTGACCTGCTGGGAAGGGAAACTTTCACCCGACCTTAAAAACTTCTGCAGCGTCTTATGTTTCGCTCTTATTCATTAACATTCAATAAAAGCTCCTTCATGGCGAGATGCTGACACCACCATCTTTCAGTCTGGACAGGGAACTTTTACCTTTTAATACGCACTGCATTTAGCATATACGGCTTAATTGCCATCTAATCAGACCAGAGCTCTATCTTTTATAAGATTGTGCTTCCCTATTCTACCACTCTGCAGAATCTGTTAGTTCAATCCCTAACGTTATGCTCTCTCTGCTTTTTCTCATAGTAGCTTTGCCTTGTCTGTTCCTGTTTGGCTAGGACGCCATACTGGAGAGAAATATCAGCTGTGCTGCTGCCATCAACACCCTTGTTTATTGATGTTGAAGATCGGCCTGTTTTCCAGTGTAGTCCTGTTTCTCTGACTGTGACTGGCTGGTTAGTCTAAAACCACAACATTCAGAAATTTTTAAGTTTATTTTTTCTTTTAACAATTGCTTTATTCTGGACGATTATCATTGAGATTTGTTTTAAAGAGCCATCCTACCACTAATAGTTTGTTTGTTGGCATTTTCCGGATAGTTTTTGCTTAATAATCTTCTATAACAAACCTCTACAGGCTTCAAACAAAAGCTAAATTTACCCTCAGATTATGGAGGGGACTCTATTCAGTCCTTAAATCACTTGCTTGCATTGGATTTTATTTAGAGTTATCGGGGTTAGAGGGGGTGCAATGCAAATATGGAAAAGCATGTTTGGGGGGAATAAATACTTGTCAGTGTTATAACCATTGACTAATAAGGAAGTGCTTTGCAAGGGAAGAAAGAAATCCAATTTTCGATGCTCAGGCTGGGAGGATTAAATCTCTTATCAAGATAAACAAGGTTCGTTTTTGAAACTAATCATCTATCACCCAGCTGTTCATTCACTTGGGAGTTTTGTGCTCTCATTCTTGATTAATGATGATATTCATGGTTTGATCTGGGTTCACACACTGACAAGCGCCAGTTTCTGTCTTGAGAGAGAGAGAGAGAGAGAACGGTCCCAGCTAGATGAGGCCCCAGTGCAATACATCAAAGGGCATCATGTGCTTTGTCTGTCTTCACTGGGTTCTTCTCATACCTTCAGTGTCACATTTAACCAGAGATGATCACAAATATGGGTCACAAGTTAAATACATTTTATACACATAAATTGAATGCAATGATAAATATAATTAATATTTTTGTTATCTATGTAGGTATTATGTAAAAGCATATGTGTGCATTTTCTTTTTAGTTTTTAAAGTTCCAGTTAGTTATAGTTAAATATGGTGGATCGATCACTGATCAAACTGCCTATGCTTAAAAACTCCTTCACATCATTGCACAATAAGTTATTACATTCATAATGACTTATGCACAGTTTCTGTCTTAGTTAAACATGCTGCTGTCATTTCTGCACATCTCTGATGTTCCTACTATTTTTAAATATCCATTATTGTAAAAATTTCCATAGCTGTATATTGGTTATTTATTCTCCAGGTTTCACAGTATTTATATTGTTAAAACACTTTAAATTACAGTATTTTATTTGTTTATTTTTTTTAACTCTTCACTATTATGTTATTTTATACATGTTTCTAAGGTCCAGCTTTGTGTGACCACTTTTGATATAATATTTTGCTGCTGTAACACCAGAATTTCCCCATTGTGGGACAATAAAGGAATTTTCTATTCTATTATTTTCTGTTCTATAATATTCTATTCTATTTTCTATTAATGATGGGTTCTTTTTAATTAATACTTTTTTAAAAGTAACAACACTTATATATAAAGCATCTGCACGTCAGGGGCGAAGCTAGATGGGGGGCCAGGAGTGGCCATGGCCACCCTTACCCAATCATTGGCCCCCCCTGTTGCCACCACTACATTTTTTCCCTCTAATACAGACAGTGGCAGCAGTAATACTCTCAAGTTTTAACTTATTTAACATTTTAATTTTCTATATGTAAACAATTACTTGACAACAACAACGCTGTGGTTATTATGCACATCAATCTACTAACTTTAAAGATGATAATTGCAGAATTCATGCTCTTTTCAGTACTAGATTTTGTGTTATAAAGAGAAAATTGTGTCTCTACATGTCATCTAGGAATCTTCACTGAAATCAGAGATAAATAACTATTTTAATAACAAGTAATCCATTTATTGTAGATATTAGTAGATTTAAATATTAATTTTATACAGAACGGTTATTGATAAAAGTAGGTAAGTAATGAAAATAAATAAGATGTTAACCCCAGAATTAAAAACTGAAAGAATTTTGTCCACTACACCTTTAATTAACACAGCATGGATGTTTAAATATATGTGTCTATTTACTGTATTAGCAAAGGCTGTAGGAAAGTATAGTTAGTCTTTATTTAGAAAATATGGATGTTCTGGTCAATGGTGTAACGACACAACAATAGACCCGTAAGCAACATTATCTGGGTGGGTCCCATATGAAGTACAACACCCCACCCTTGCCACCGCCGCTGCTGCCGTCGACAGCTGACCCAAAATGTGCCCCATACATACACACTTCATCATTCCATCATTCTTCACCTTCACTGGACATGGATATACTTTAGTATATTCTGCTGTAAAATGAGTCTTATCGTGCTACCTTGAGTTTCACAGCCCCCTCCTCACC